TCGAGCATAAAAATCTAATTGTAGTGATAATTTTAAGATTTACAATATGGAATCTCATTCTACATCAGCAAGTTGGAACTTTGGAATTTAATACAAAGAAGGTAATCGTTCTCCAGGGTTCCTTGGTGCTCTCAGAACTTGCTTGTTTTCTTGCAGCCATTTCATTACCCAAATTAGGTAACATCATCAGTGCTATTAAGGAGTGATGACCCTTAAAAGAGGGCTGTGAAAATATTTACAAACCCGTCACATCCTGGACATAAACTGTTTCAACTCCTACCCTCAAAACGACGCTATAGAGCATTGCACACTAGAACAACTAGACACAAGGACAGTTTTTTCCTGAATGCCATCACTCTGCTAAACAAACAATTCCCTCAACACTGTCAAACTATTTACTAAGTCTGCACTACTGTTAATCTTCTCATCGTTCCTACCACCCATCTCCTTCCACTTATCACTCTATGACTGTAATTTTGTTGCTTGTATTCTTATGATTTATATTGATATTGTTTCCTGATTGCTTATTTGTACCCTATGACTATCATTAAGTGTTGTACCTTATGATTCTTGACGGATGTATCTTGTCTTTTTATGTACACTGAGAGCATATGCATCAAGACAAATTTCTTGTGTGTCCAATCACATTTGGCCAATAAAAAATTCTATTCTATTCTATTCTATTCTATTCTATTCTATTCTATTCTATTCTATTCTATTCTATTCTATTCTATTCTATTCTATTCTATTCTATTCTATGACGTTACTTAGTTTGGGTAATGAAACATTTGCAAGAAACCAAGCAAGTTCAGAGAGCACCAAGGACCCCTCATGTCAACCTCAGCTACAAATATTCTCCATTATTGGTGATGGTTCAGAAATGCAAATTATTCATTAAAGTTTGTTTGGTAGCAAAATTATAAACAATTAAATACTCTGTTTTTTATTTTTCCGGCAATTGTTTCTTTGTCAAAGACTTCTGTTATGAAGAACATATTTGATTCAGAAGCTGCTGAGAAGTTTACTATTCTGCCATGGTCTGTAGCAAAAAGAAGTAGCAGGCCTTTTGAGATTTTTTAAAAATAACTTTGAGAGAGAAATTGGGCAATTTGTTTAAGGGAAGTTGCTTTCAGGAAGTCTGAATGTGCTAGTACCGTATTAGTGCTTCTTTGTTATTTCAGCTTTTTAGATTTAGCTTCATAATATTCTTTTGGTTCTTTACAGGTTATTTGTATTTTAATTCCCTTTTTAATTATTTCCTTTTTTCTTATTTGTGAGCTTTTGTGTTTTAATTAAAAATATTATGATTGTTTAATGCTTTTTTCTTCTTTTTCACCCTTTCCTTTGACCTACAGAAGCATTGAGGGGTTTAGCCCCCACATTTTTAATATAATATCTTCCTGTAAAAGCTCTTAGATGTTTTTTTCCCCCCAGAACACAGGTACTTGTTAAGTTGAGACATTTAAAACTGAAGTAGTTTCTTCTTTGTTAATTAGAAAAACATATTGTTTTATATGAGATAGTTCTTTCGTCTAGTACAGTGATGGCTAACCTTTTCCAGAGTGCCGAAAGCATGAGTGTGTGCACGTGAATGCACGCATGTGCGCCCGAACCCCCAAAATGCAAAGCATGCATGGTCCCCATGCATGTGCTGCTCCCCCCACACATGCACATGAAGCCCCCTGCATGCCTCCCTCTCATGAATGTATGGCGCCCCACACGCGCCCTATGCATGCACGGCAGAGACCCAAAGATGAGCTGCAGCAGAGACCCAAAGATGAGCATCCGGCGGGAGGCACGCACGCATGTGCAGTGGAGCTGAACTAGGGTAATGGCTCGTGTGCCATCAGAGAGGGTGCTGTGTGCCATCTCTGGTATGCGTGCCATAGGGTCGCCATCACAGGTCTAGTATAGGGCTAATTGAATATGTATACTAGAAATTACACTAAGAGCCTTGGTGGCGCAGCAGACTAAAGTGCTGTTAAGTAGCACCAGCTGCCTGCAATTACTGCAAGTTCAAATCTCACCAGGTTCAAGGTTGACTCAGCCTTCCATCCTTTCGAGGTAGGTAAAATGAGGTCCCAGATTGTGCGGACAATAAGCTGACTTTGTATAAAAAAGAACACCGCTTGGGGGGAGGGGGCAAAAGCCCTACTAAGCAGGTATATACAAAAGTATGAAGGCTATTGCTTAATGCATTGTAAGCCACCCTGAGTCTCCGGAGAAGGGCGGCATATAAATCGAACCAATAAATAAATAATAAATAAATAAATAAATTCAAATATGCTCTGTATACACTAACTTTGGTTACCAGGTTTCAAAATTTATAGTGGAACCAGAATAAGTGACCCAGAAGGGTTATTTTTTTTACACTAGTGAATAACGTTATAGCAAACATATTGTAATGAATTATTTATGGCTGTACTAAGAACCATCTAGTTGGTTTATACAAGTGTTTGGAATGTCTATTTAGTTTAGTTGGGTATCATGTAGTTTCAGCTTTATAGATTAATGCCATTCCAGCTGTAGAAACTTAGCACCCACCCCTCTCCTAGAAGAATGAAATATTTTGGGAAATGTTATAAAAGGCAGAATATTATATTTCCCTAAAGGAGAAACATGCTCTTGGAAAGCAGCCCCCACCTTTCTTAATAGCCCCAGCAGTACTGGGCCAGCCTATCTACAAGACAAAAGACCTTCGGCTCCAGGATGATGGGATTATCCTCCAGGGCAAAGCCATACAACCACAATAGGAGCTGCATTGCAACAGCCGAAGTTTCAACCAAGCTTGACTCAGAAAACCTACAAAGTTAGCTATAACCTCTGCATAGCCCCATGGGAGTCTGACAGCAACCAATGGAATACATGTTTTTGCCACAGGAACAGGAAGCTCAAGGGCAAGGCCTAAGAGACGGTATAAATAACACTCACTCTCCACTCCATGTGTTCAGTTGCTCAGGATTTAAAATCCAGTGGTCCTGTCCATCAATAAACCATCTTTGCAATCAGCCTTCATGTTTCCAGTGTCTTTTTCCCCACTTGGAACTGAACCCAGATGGATATTTCTTCTGACACAGCTAAATTGCATTCTCATATGGAAAAGGCTACAAGCTAATATGTTGGAATTTAGTATGTTGATTATACTGTATGTTGACATTTAAATCTTTCACAGCAACTGTTTCTTGATTTCACATTAGACTTATTCTCAGCTTGATGTCTAAAATCTTAATCCCTGATTGATTGAAATGATAAATGTAATGATCGTTATTGCAATATTCAAACATTCCCGAGGAACACTATTGATTGTTATATGAAAAATTAAAGAACAAAGGTAGATTTTGTGGCTTGATACCATAATACCTGCCATGTTATCTTCACCATTCTGCTTCTCTCTCCTTCAAAGCCCCACCTCCTGCCATGGACAACCTGATTGTTTGTGGTACTTTGGAAGCATATATTTGTGGTTGTATAATTGTATATTCTTCATGGATATACATGAAAAAGAAAAGATAACATAAAGATAATATTCATGGAAAAAGAAAGATAACATCTGAGCAAGGAAGTTTGAAAAAAAATTACGATACTTTTGAATACGTAATCAAGACAATCCCAGAAAAATTTAATCTATTAAAAGTAATTATTAAACCGTATGATAAAAACCCTGTATAATTACTGTTTATAAAATTCTGTTGGTGGTGAATTAATCTGATAAACAAACCTCAGTGGTTGAATGGAAAAAAGAATTAGAGATCCCTATTTTGACTAAACAATGGGACATTGTATTAATATCAAAATTTCAGTAGTTCTTTGATTATTTTATTGATTATCATTCAATAAAAATAATATTTTGGATTTACTGAATTCCATTGCATTCATAGAAAACAGCTTTAGTAAAATAATGTCCTATAATTGTTCCATTTGGACTGAAAGTTGCTACATGTATTAACTCAACTTTGAGATAAGATTCAATATTTTCACAGGTTTGTGTTCTTTTCAACTATATTCCTTTCATATGACATCTGGACAAATAAAGTGGATTTCTCCATGGCCTACTTTTAGCTAAAAGGCTGATTCTTCTCCATTGGAAAGATAAACATATGGCTTCAGCCACTCAATGGCCTGTTGAATTGCTGTTATTAGTAACTAATGAACAAATCACTTATCAAAATTAATGAGCTTTGAATGATTATAATGAAATATACAAAAGCATTTTAATGAATGGGGGCTACAGCTTTTACATAGTGTTTGCGAACATATGCCTATATCTTACCTTTCCTTAAAAGTTTGCTCATTTGTGGATTTTGTGTGTATATATATATGTATGTGTGTGTGTGTGTGTGTGCTGAATCAATCAAAGCACCCCCCAAAAATAAAATAATCTAATCCAAAAACAGATCTAGCTTTAATGTCTGCTAAACTAGAACATTCTCCCTTTATGCACTTAATACAGGAAATTCACTAAATCAGATGAAACTAATTTTGGAGCAGTGAGGAGAAATACTCATGAAAAATTTAATTGTAAATATTAATATTTCAATTTGATTAGCTCCAATTAAAATTGTTATAAACAGATGGTTAAATCCCCATGAGTGCATGAGGCAAGATAAATATTATAAAAGTTAAGTATTACTTCAAGATTGATGTATGTCCTTAGAGAAATTATTGTATTAAAACCTTTTAAGGTATTTCAAGCAAATTAATAAGTTGTCATGACAGTTTCTTTGGGAAGAATCATCCCCCTATTTTTTTTATTCATTTTTTTTTTTTTGGTCTATCTAAATTAAAATTTTCAAATGATGAATGAGATTTTAACTTTCTTGATTTTCAGTGATTGGGCAGATGGTTTAACTTCTATTTCTTGATGGAATCCAAATAACCAAGGGCAAAAACCATTACAGGCACCATTGGGATCCTGGTGGCTTAGTGGTTAGAATGCAGTACTGCAGGTTACCTTTGCTGACTGCTAGCTGCAGTTTGGCAGTTTGACAGTTTGATTCTGACTGGCTCAAGGTTGACTCAGCCTTTCTAAAGCACTGTGAAGCTATGTATATAAGTCTAAGTGGTAATGCTGTCAGAGGTGGGTTTCAGCAGGTTCTGACCAGTTCTGGAGAACTGGTAGTTGAAATTTTGAGTAGTTCAGAGAACTGGTAAATACCACCTCTGACTGGTCCTGCCCCCATCTATTCTCTACCTCCAGAGTCCCAGCTAATCGGGAGGAAATGGGGATTTAGACCTGTACCAATCGGGTTTCAGGCGCGGCCACAGCACAGAAACGGCATTGGTCGCCCTGGTGAATGATCTTTGGCGGGCCCGGGATGGGGGTTGTTCCTCCATTCTGGTTCTTCTTGACCTCTCATCGGCTTTCAATACCATCGACCATGGTATCCTACTGCGGAGGATCCGGGGGTTGGAAGTAGGGGGCACTGTGTTACAGTTGTTCTCCTCCTACCTCTTGGGCTGTACGCAGTTTGTTTGGGTGGGGGGTCAGAGATCCTTGCCAAGGCCCCTTATTTGTGGGGTACCACAGGGGTCGGTTCTCTCCCCCCTGCTCTTCAACATCTACATGAAGCTGCTGGGTGAGATCATTCGTAGTTTCGGGGTGAGGTATCATCAGTACGCTGATGATACCCAAATGTATATCTCCACCCCGGACCAACCCAGGGATGCCCTTTCTGTGATGTCTAAGTGCCTGGAGGCAGTACGGGTCTGGATGGGTAGGAACAGGCTCAGACTCAACCCCTCCAAGACTGAGTGGCTGTGGATTCCAGCATCTCCTGCTCTAGTGACCCCATCACTTTTGATGGGAGGGGAGCCGCTTGCTCCCTCTGAAAGGGCTCACAATCTTGGCGTCCTCCTTGATTCATGGCTGTCCTTGGCAGACCATCTGATGGCTGTGACAAGGGGGGCTTTTGTACAGGTTCGCCTAGTGTGCCAGTTGCGGCCTTTCCTAGACAGGGATGCCCTCCATACAGTCACTCAAGCTCTCATTATCTCTCAGATGGATTACTGCAATGCCCTCTACATGGGGCTGCCCTTGGGGTACACCCGGAGGCTCCAGCTGGTTCAGAATGTGGCCGCGCGGGTTGTTACGGGAATTTCCCATTACTCCCATGCAACACCTCTCCTGCGCGAGCTGCACTGGCTGCCGGTGGCCTTTTGGATCCGCTTCAAGGTGCTGGTTCTCATCTATGGGCCCAGGGTACTTGCAGGACCACCTCCTACCAGCCTCCCACCACCCAGTGCGTTCACATAGAACTGCCCTCCTCCGGGTGCCGTTGGCCAGACAATGTCGGCTGGGAGCCCCCACGTCGAGGGCGTTCTCTGTGGCCGCACCGACCCTCTGGAATGGGTTACCCACTGGGCTCCAGACAGGCTCCAGGCTCCTGACCTCCGCACTTTCCACGCTGACCTGAAGACATGGCCCTTTCGGCAAATCCCCTGATCGGCTGTGTGATTTTAAATTGTGGGGATTTAAACTTGGTTTTTGGTTTTAGTATTTTATTATGTTCTTTAGTATTTTATTATGTCCTTCTCTCCTACGGGAGAAGGGCGGCATATAAATTTTGATAAATAAATAAATACATAAATAAACCTTCCGCTGGATTGGGAAATTTTACAGTATCCTTCCCCTGCCATGCCCACCAAGCCACACCCACTAAGCCATGCCACAGCCATCAAGTCACACCTACAGAACCAGTAGTAAAAAAAAATTAAAACCCACCACTGAGTGCTATTGCTTATATCATGGCAGAGTCTTAGTTCTTTTTCTTTGTTTGGTCAACTTTCTACTTGCAAGAATGTTGTAATGCAGAATTGGAATACCTTTTATCAACAAATTAATGTTTAGAACTTTTAAAGAACATTAAATATTATTATTTATTGAATTCATATGCCACCTGACTCTCAATGACTCTGGGTAGTTACAAATGATTTAAAACATGAATACAATAAAGCAAAAATAAAACACAAAAGAAGGATAGAATGGAAGAATAACAAATTAGATGGAAACAATAGAAAATAATCTAGATTACAAGAGGCTTCAGCTATCCTTGCCAAAGGCCTAAGGGCAGGCCAAGAGACAATAGGTCACCAATTCTATCTTTAGTTTATTCTATCTGTGAATGCCTCTCCTGGCCAAAGATTTGAACCCCATAGAATAAGACCTAGTCATGTACCTCTGACAATTTTCAATAAAGCTCAAAACAGTCATCTATTGCCTCCTGGTGGTCAGTGTAAAAACAAAAAAATTGCCCCCTTCCCTAACCACATACATCTATACATGTAACATACATGATACATGGACTATTTAAACCATGTTGATAGTTTTAATGCAATTTAAGAAAGCTACAACACTGGAAGTTTTATTATTAAGACATGGAAGTAATATTATTTCTACCATGCAATTGTTTTATTATCTGCTTCCAAGATATGCCATGAGAAAGAAATATTCTCTCTTTCTTTGTCCTTGTGAGCAGATACACAATTGGCAGAACATTATTCTAGAGTTGCAAAGCTAGGACTTTCTGTGAAATGTTCGCATTTCGATTGACTTGAGGGGTGTGTGGGTGGGTATGCATGTAGGCAGAGGAAAACAATTTAATAGGACAAATGAAAATGCTCAGCTTGGTTTGTTCCTCTCTCTCTCTCTCTCTCTTTCTTTTTTAATCACTTAGAGCATGAACTGTATTCTTCAACACAGAGTCCTGCAAATGTGTGCTGTTTGCATTGGCATCCAATATTCATTTTTCATTTTCTTCACATACTCAGAATTTCAGAAATTAAGAACACTGAAGGCAATTTTGTGAGCTCCATTTCCCCAAGACAACAGATGGTCTTGAACCAGCCAAAGATACATAGGAAACAAGTTCAAGGTATGGAGTATAACCCATAATTTATAAATTATCCACGAGAAGAAAGATCTGGTTGACATTCTACCAATGAATATAATCTTTCCAAATAATGAAAGAAATGCCAGAGGAAAATCCGAGTGCATGTTGAAAATGCATAATTATGTTCAAAGAAATTCAATTTTATTTAGTTACCTTTTGGATTTTTGAAATGTTTCAGTTGAAGGCTAGGTTCGTGTGTCCCAACATGGATACTACTGTGTTACACCAGCAACACATCACATAGATTTGTGTATTGAGCAAAACTCTGCCTCTCTAATTATTTCTACTTTAGGAAGTTTTAGGAAGCTATTTTACTCTGAGAAATTATTATATTATTTGGTCTAGCTGGTCATGTGGAATCATTGCAAACAATGGTGTTTCCTATCTCCTGCAATCTCCGCATTTTACAGCATAAAAAAAGCAGACAAATTATTATCAAAACTTAATGTAAGTTTCGAATTCTAAGACTCTGTGATAAACAAAAGATAAGGATGTGGTTAAATTGGCATGCTACAATGAGAAGGAGTACATAAAATGGGAAGGCCAATTGTAGTGTGATATGATAGGAGAAAAAGAGGGCATTGTGGTCATGCAAAGGGTAGGCCTATACACAAATGAATGCAGAACAATAGCCAATACTACAAAGTGAAGAAGAATTGACTGTAGCCATCGATCACTGAAATGGAATGCCTTTTATAGACAGCTGAAAATTAGATTTTGCCAGGAATCTGCATAAGACACTAGGTTGTGAGTGCACAATATGCAATGATAGCCAGGCAAATCCATTAGCTTCCAGCAGAGCTTATTAAGATATAAGATATGTTTTAATCATTGTGATTGTTTATATAAGGCCATACATATGCAGATGCTTTATAAAGGCATCAAAGGAGCTACTTTACATCAAAATCAGATACATTGTTCATCTGTGTCATCTATCTATTTTCCAAGAGGTGGGTTTCTCCTCGGTATAGGGCAGAATCATGCTTATTCCTTTCCACCTGGTGGTGGTGGTTTTCTTTTCTTTTCTTTCTTTCTTTCTTTTTTTTTTCGGGGGGGAGGGGAGAGTGTGGGCATACTGGAATTACCAGGATATAGCATTGAACAATTTATCTTCTTCACTTGCCAGATGGATGGCACACACATAGAAATTGCAAGCCATTGGGGCATCGGTGGTGCTTTAGATTACACTGAAAGGCAGCAATGGAGTGAACCATTAAAAACAGACATTCATTTCAAGTCAAAAGGAAGTGATAGCAGCACTACTGGATAAGAAGCCCTCCTTGAGCAAAGTTGACTGAGGTCAACTCAGCAGCTGCAGCCTCTCCAGCAACAGGATTATTCCATGTGCTGCCAAGCTATGCAGCAGTTCAGCAGGTCATTTCATTTCCTGGGTCAACCAAGGATACGATCCTGCTGAGATGCTGAATGGTTTAAAAGACAAAAGCCCAAACAATGAGTTTTGAAAATGCAGCTCAATATTCATAAGGCACCACGACTTGCTGATGTCTTCGAGAAAGGAAGGAGAGATTTGGCCATTTTCATCAAAATAAGAGGAGAAGAATCCCTTGTCATGGAAAGTGGTGCACCTGATTCTTGGGACAGGCCATTCGGATAACTTCCTCACTTCTTCCCAATGAGCGCAAGGATTTTGTGATCCTGTTAGTTGGATGCTTCAAAAACTGGGATACTTGTGGCTGGCTGCATTAGTCACAGATGTCTGCACCACAAATGTGTCCTACAGCCATGAATGTGGTAATGGAACTATAGACATGTATCCTGTACTTTTGTCTGGGGAACTCTGTTTATGTTGCATCTTTCTCTTAACATGTCATAGGACTTCTATGGGCTTTTAAGCTTGATTTAGAAAGTTCCTGGCAAGATCAATGTCATGAAAAGTATCAATAGTTTCCCAGCAGATACCAAGGGCAACACTCAGTTTAGTTGGTAGGGTTCCTTTGAAGATTGAATAATGTTTACTTAGTTTAACAGGAGTCCTACAATATAACAGAGAGGGAAAACCTGTGATTCATTCAGTTAAGCTTCCAGCCTATCAGGAGAGCCTGCTAGGGCCTTTCCAAAGCTACAGGTGCTGATTTAACAGCTGTGATCTAAGGTAATTGGTTCAAATTCTGAAGAGAAGTGGAGCTCATTTAGTGGCTCTGGGGAAAGTAAACTAGAAAAACATTTCTAGTATTTGTGCAGATAGAAAGTATGTTTCAGTATCAAGGGCCTATTTGCTCACTCTGTAGTCCAACAATCTGCCTTGATATGTGAAGATAGGTTTCTCTCATATTGGAAGGAAATCTTACTTAGCACATTACGCTGTCAGTTAAAAAATTCTGATCTTTTGTATTTTAGATCATGCGCATGAAGCACAGCCTTCTCTTTAACATCAGAGATCCTATTGCATGTTGGACATGGAAAGCCAGAGCAGAATTGGCCTCCTTGTATAGCTATGTAGCTGCATTTATTTCCCGATGCCAATATGATGGAGGAATTTCTAGCTGTTGATTGCCAGCCCAGGAATTAAAGTGGGAGGTTGTAACATTTTTGTATTTTATGGATTTCTTATTTTACCCATCACAAATTCCCACTTGGCTCCGTTTCTGTGTTAGCATATGTATTCTTTTGAAAAATGTCTACGTGGATACTAACAGAAATGTGTGTAGACTTCTTTAATGTGAGAACATATTTGAAAGCACTTTTGTTTCATAATGGCATTTTTTCCCTAATGTGTGCCTAGTTGTGCATTGTTCTAAGTTGTGAAATGTAAAATATATGTATTCATGAAAAAGGATTGAATATGAAAAATATGCCATTTCCTGGATGAGCCTGACTTTAAGGCCCATCCCTGCATAAGCTCCATCCTGCCTGTCTACAGGTTCTTCAGCAGCAGATGTTCAGTTGATACAGTGAGGCAGTCCATCAACACTGGGGATTCCCTTGCCAATCTTTATAAGAACACACTGCAACGCGTCAAGTAGTAAATGAAAGTAATATGGCTAAGGATCTGATAGTCTGAATGGGAGCAGACATGTTTCCCAAAGGATGAAATTGTTTCATCACTCTAATTAAAGTTTTACTCCAATGACACATCATGATGCTATCATGGGGATGGAGGGTGGGGCTGAAGCCACAGAAGTCTCTGCTGCTTTCCCAGCTATGCCATTAGGATCTATCCTGCACACTGAATTGAGTCACTATTCAAGAATAATGGAGGAAGAGGAATAAGATCATAACAATCACCCACAATACTTAATGCCTGAGGATAGGGATTCTGTTAAATATGACTTATTCTCATAAAGCATCAGAAGGCAGGACAAGAAATGATGGATAATCAAGGAGAGAAGTAACCTGTAATTAAGGAAAAACTTTGTAACAGTGAGAACAATTAACTAGTGGAACAGCTTGCCTTCAGAAGTTCTGCGTGTTTCATCACTGGAGGTCTTTAAGAAGAGATTGGACAGCCACTTGTCTGAAATGGTACAAGGTCTCCTACTTGAGCAGGGAGCTGGACTAGAAGACCTCCAAGATCCCTTCCAGCTCTATTCTGATTGATTGATGACAACATATCTTATACAGTTTTGTGACTGACCTTGCAAGAGACAGTTTTAGTGTGATAATACCATAAAGATGGACTGAAGGATATTCCTTTCCACCTAGGGAATTATTTGTGTGTTTGCTAGAGACACAGTCCGGTGGTGAAATCCAATTTTTTTTACTACCAGTTTTGTGGGTGTGGCTTGGTGGGCATGGCAGGGGAAGGATACTGCAAAATCCCCATTTCCTCCTCACTCCTGGGGGAAGGATATTGCAAAATTCCCATTTCCTTCCCACTCCTGGGGGAAGGATATTGCAAAATCTCCATTCCCTCCCCACTCTGGGGCCAGCCAGAAGTGGTATTTGCCGGTTCTCCAAACTACTCAAAACTTCTGCTACCGGTTCTCTGAATTGCTCAAAATTTCCACTACCAATTCTCCAGAACCTGTCAGAACCTGCTGGATTTCACCCCGATACAGCCTATCTTTCTTTCAGATTTGATTTGATTTGATTTGATTTGATTTGATTTGATTTGATTACATTTCTATACTGCCTTTTCCCCGAAGGACTCAGGGCGGTGTACAGCCATATTAAAACAAACTCATTACAAAAATTAAAAACCTTTAAAATAAATCAAAGCAATTTGGCCATTATTAAAACCCTTAGCTAAAACCCCTTTAAAACCAATTAAAACCCATTAAAATTAATTTATTCGGTCAGGCCGGCTTGATTGAACAATAGAGTCTTCAGAGCACGATGGAAGGCGCGGAGGTCGGGGATCCTTCTTATATCCGGGGGCAGCTCATTCCATAGGGCAGGAGCCCCCACAGAGAAGGCTCTCCCCCTGGGGGTCGCCAGCCGACATTGCTTGGCCGACGGCACCCTGAGGAGGCCCTCTCTTTGAGACCGTATCGGATGGTGGGAGGCATTCGGTGGTAGAAGGCGGTCCTGTAGATGATCAAGAGAGTATAGGTAACCTTCATTCCTCCATTTTTTTCTCTACAACAATAATCCTGGGACTCAGATAAAGAGGGAGTGATTGGCCGATGTGACTCAATGACCTTTTGTGATTGAAAATAGATTTGGACCTGGATTGGCCATGTCTTAGTCCAACGCCATAATCAGGGTACCATCATAGTAATCTTAGGGAGGTAGAAAGAAAATGGCCAGAATGCTATTTCAGAGGAGGAAAGACTAAAATAACAATTTCCATTCATTGCTTAATTGGTCTGATTAAATAAAAGATCTGTTTGCAGTTCAGTGGGATGCTTATAAGAAGTATATTTGACACTTCACATTAATAATCTGACCTGTTTTAGACCATGTTTAATTATTTCTCAGAAAGGTTCCTATCTCCGGTTCTTTTAAATGTAAAATGGGTTTCTTGCATCTTAATTTTGGATGAATCTCTGAACAGGTTTTGCTCTTTTCTATTGAAATCAAGATTTTCCTTTCTCATAACTTTGCTCTGCATTTTAAGCTATTAAAATGCATTATTTTCTACCAGCCCAAGCACAAACACTGGAGAAGATCAACACTTTTTTTTTGTTAAGACTAAATTGATAAATGTAGTCAAAATGTCAATGTCAAAAGATATCGATTATCTTTTCCCCCCTGCAATTGTGTTAGAACTGTTAAGTTAAGCCAACATTTCCTCTTAGGCCAATTTAGCTTGGTTTCTTTTCATTGGTAATACTGTAAAACTAATTATGTGTACGTAAGTAATATCATATCCATCACATTCATTCAATCATATGTGATTGGATGGAACTAATCTAAGAGAGTGGAAGAAATCTATGTAATATTAGTACTACCTATAATAGCTGCCCATTACAAGTGAGTGGGCAGCGATATAAATTCTCTTAAATAAATAAACAAATAAAGGGAAGTAGGCAAGCATTTCAACAGATGGAAAAAAAATAGCTGTTGGGAAAAATAAACGTAACCTCATAGAATTTTTAAATCACAAATTATAATCTTGTTAACTTTAATATTTAAATATGCAGGATTTTATTATAAACCACCCAGAGTCACTTTGGATAGTGAGATGGATGGCATATAAATTGAATAAATAAAATAACATTTGTCAAAAGACTATTTTCCATCACCTTAAAGTACACTCCTTTTCACTTTGTCAGTTTAAAATAAATTTAATCTGAATCTGGCTATTGAAATTTAGGAAAAAAGGCATTATGAATTGGAGGATTTTTTTAAAAAATGTCCTATGTAATATTGTACTTTCATACATTTTGTGGACCTGGAAGGCTTTTAGAAAATACAAAACCAGGATGGCTTACAAAAGAGCTGCTGGGCATGCAAGGACTTCTCCCCAAGGAGCTGTGGTAGCGCAGTGGTTCGAATGCAGTATTGCAGGCTCATTCTGTCAACTGCCAGCAGTTCAATCTGCACTGGCTCAAGGTTGACTCAGCCTTCCATCCTCCCGAGATCAGTAAAATAAGGACCCAGATTGTTGGGTTAATATGCTGACTCTGAAAACCAGTTAGAGAGATCTCTGTAAAGTGGTATATAAGTCTAAGTACTATTACTTTTTTAAAAAAAAAATGATTTATATGCCGCCCTTCTCCGGAGACTCAGGGCGGCTTACAATGCGTTAAGCAATAGCCTTCATACTTTTGTATATTTTATACAAAGTCAGCTTATTGCCTCCACAATCTGGGTCCTCATTACCTTTGAAAGGATGGAAGGCTGAGTCAACCTTGAGCTGGTGAGATTCAAACTTACAGTAATTGCAGACAGCTGGTATTAATCACAATGCTTTTAGTCTGCTGAGCCACCAGGCCCGTACTATTGTTCCAGAGGTGGGTTTCAGCAGGTTCTGACCAGTTCTGGAGAACCAGTAGTAGAAATTTTGAGTAATTTGGAGGACCGGTAAATACCACCTCTGACTGGCCCCACCCCCATCTATTCTCTGCCTCCCAAGTCCCAGCTGATCGGGAGGAAATGGGGATTTTGCAGTATTCTTCCCCTGGAGTGGGGAGGGAATGGAGATTTTACAGTATCCTTCCCCTGCCATGCCCACCAAGCCACGCCCACCAAGCCATGCCATGCCATGCCCACCAAGCCACGCCCACAGAACTGGTACTAAAAAAATTTGAATCCCACCACTGTATTGTTCCCATGATCTGAGTCAGAAGGTTTTGCATGACCAGCAGCTGCCTTGTAGAGTCAGGTTGGGAATGCTTTAGCGGAAGGAAGAAGATGGTGAAGGTGAGCTGAGGGACAGCAGAGCACAGGAGCCATGGAGTGCAGGAGGCCAAAAAGGCAGAAATGGAGGTGAGATAGGCAAGTGGGGATTATGAATGCCCACCGGCATTAATGCATCCTGTGATCATTAATGCTGGTGGGCTGCAATCCAGTGGCCCTAAGTTTGAGGACTGAGTGTATGTACCATTGGTTTAGTGTCATCATAACTCCAAATGGTAGCTGAACAAATGGTCAAAATGGTTGTGGCAAGGATTATCTGTATATCTCCCCTCTTGTGCAAATCATCTGAAAAATGTTGAGGATTATGAGAGTTCTTTTGGTATGGGGTTCTTAACAAAGTCCTCTGGAGTGCAACCATTTGATTGCACAGTATAGTAACTGGCTGTTTCATTTTTCTGTGCTGTCCTGATTGGATGAAGAAGAAGAAAAGAGGGCTGGCTGGATGTAGAGGAAATACTTTACCATGTTCTCAAATTGTGCAAATCTGAGCAATCTCTGTTGAAGCTGAATCAACCTGGCAGCCCCTTTGAGATTAAGTTAGAAGTCAAATTAAGCATCTGGCCCCAAAATTGGATAATACAGATTTTGCTTGTTAAGATCCTTCAGTAAGCAGAAGATAAATGTCTCCAGTGTAATTAAAGAATGACTGTACCCAAGTTCATTAGCATAGCT